TAGTTTTATAGCAATATATGTACTAGATAGTATTAATCTGTAGATTATCTGTAGAGACATAAAGGGTATTCATGTACTAATTGATTTTCAGTTAATTTGTAAGAACACTTGGTATCTGTTTGAATATATAACATATCAATAAAAATCATACACCATGCACACATTTCACTATAAAAAAAATATACTTGTTTTTTTTATATCAAGTAAAATAATTACTTTATTTTTAATAAATTTTATAAAATCAGTAATATTTAACTTGAATTTATATTTATATAGATATTTAATAATTTGCAATTTGAAATTTTTATAAAAAAATAGGAATTTAATTTTTGGATAGCAATAACAATTGAATATAAAAAATTTAAAGTAAAATTATTATTGTTATTACTGTTATATATATTTTTAAATATAATATCTATATTAGATAAAATAAAAGATGATAGTAAAGTTGTTATATATTGTTACTGTAGTAATAGTTATATATAATTGAAGAAATACTTGATATGTTTAAGTGATTTAGGTTTTGAAATAGTTGCACAGAACATATTAGTGATTTTTTTATAATTTAAAACTGTCCTTTATCAATATGCCTTTTATTGCACAATATTAATTGTGTTGTTATACATTCTGTTTTATATATAGTTTATGGATATAACTTTTTTGTATTTTTGACCATTTTTTATAGTAGATTTAATTATATTTCATCTATATATTTTTTATTTTTTATTAAAAAGGTATTATTTTGCCTTGCATGTTTATATGATTTTGCATTATTAGAAAATTACATGTATACATAGTAAAGATGGTATTACATTTTGGATTCTAATCAATGAAATTGTATAAAAATGATTGGTACAAATTTCAGTGGCAATTTATTATTTGATATAGCTAGACTGGTTGTACTATATTTAATTTCTTGATAATTGTCTTATTAAAATATATTTAAAATTTTTGTTGCTTGTATAAAAAAGATTTGAATTTTAACATACAATTTTTTGAAAAAATCTTAACCATATAGTTATTGAATTAATTTTGTTTATTTTTGAATTTTTTAGTTAAAAGATATTCTTTGAAAAAAGAATTCACAACTTTGGTTCTCATCTAACCTTTGATTTTATAATTATTTGATTTTTAAAAAAACAAATGATTTACAAGTTATGGTGAACTATAACTATTAATCTGGAATTTTTCAAGTCAATACTGTACTATACAATAAAAATTGAATTTTTATAAGAGGCAAAAATACTTATGATCATTATAATAAGCGTTATTTCTCAAAGTACAAAGTATTTTCAAATACACAGTACAATATATTATTAATAAACCTTAATAAATTTATATATTTATTACCTATTTTTGATGATTGATTAATGCTAAAACTTAAGAACATTAATAATTTGTTGACCTGACTCAAACCAGATTCGATTCGGCACATTACAACACTACTTCTTGACCTGACCGAATTTATTTTTCAACAAGGGCGTGCAAGTCATTGTACACGATATAGGATTATATTGTTATCATCACTGGCGAGTCTGTCGCTACAACTTCTCTTCGCGTGAAGATAATTTGAACGCCCAGATTTTGGCATTAAATAAGGTAAATAAATTTTTAATGATTATTAAAAGTAATTTATTTTGCATTATAAATTATTAATAAAGATATCAATTTGTAGATAAATTATGGTTAAAAAAATATATGTTATATAAAATATTCCGATCTGTTCACTTTCTCTAGGTACGTCTCGAGATTACAAGTGTCTTTCTAGACGGGCAAAGGTAACGTCAAAGTCTCCCTTAAAGTCGTTTACTTTACTATAGTGGCGTTAGCCTCGGTTTATTATTTATGGGACGTAATGTTATAATGCGAAGTAGTATAGCATTTATTCACTAAAAACGAGAGAAAACAGAAGAATGTTCTCAAGCTCTAAATTCTACTCACTGTTACAAACTATGTAAAACTATCCTGTTTATATGCCATGTTGACGCATCTACCCAGCTAAAGCTATGTGTAATTGATTATATCTTTCTGCAATCATTCCCCATTGTTACGCGACGTGTATCAATTGTCGCGTTCACCTCCTGATTATTGCCCCAACAATATTTGTCGAGGAATCACATGGTTGCATATTATAAAGAGCATTGACGTTTAATATGTCATTGGGGAAATGAATTTCATTATGAAAATATAAATTTTTAAAAGATTGCGAATAACGATGCGACAAATGGCATATCTCTAAATGTAACAATAAATTTCCAAAACAAACACTAACATTTATCTCTCTTATCTTCATCTTCCTCATCTTCATCTTCCTCATATTCGTATTCATATTCAGATTCCTCATATTCGTATTCATCTTCATCTTCCTCATCCTCATCTCCCTCATATACGTATTCATATTCAGATTCCTCATCTTCATCTTCCTTATCTTCACCTCCCTCATCTTTATCTCCCTCATCTTCATCCTCCTCATTGTTATTTTTTCGATTGATTAATTTGAATAGTTTTTTGTTTAATTCATTAATCTTTTCCTCTAACCCACCAATCTTCTCTTCAACATTTTTTTCATATTCGACAATCTTTTTAACAGCACTAGACAAGCGTGGTCGTGATATTTCTTCTTTAGCCTCTTCTTCTAATGAACTAACATATTTTGTAAGTTCTTCGACGGATATTTCGTAATATCTAAAGAAAAAAAATTTCTGTTAGAAATTGATACAATTAATATCAAAAGTAAAAATGAAATATACTATAGATAGATATATATATGTATAATTACAAATTCTCTGGGAACCAATTTTTCTTTCTTCTTTGATGGGGAAGCATCATAAAAAGTTCTATCTCCGCCAAAATCTATAAGTAACAATTAACACTATTATCACAAATAGTATCGAATTATATATAGACAAAAAGGTGCATACCTCTCCCCTTAAGTGCAAAAACGACTCTTCATTATTTGTATCATTGATTGCGGTGTTAAGCAAACCAATTAATAAATTCATTAAATAAATCGCCGTAAAAAATGAGAACAAAAACAATATAAACGCCAATGTGTGATTATCTCTCAAATCCCATGGCGAGACTGAACTTCTGTCTCCCGATAATGCATAAAATTAGTACTGCAATTTATTTTATATTTAATATCATAATATACAGTATTTATATCACATAATACCTGTTAGCATGAAATAAACGGCCAATAAAGAAGTACCAAATAATGAAAATAAGTTTGTGCCGTCACTTGGAGATTCAATAAGAGATGGTTTTCCGATAACGCCATCGGAGGAAATAGATTGATATCTTGTAACGAGATTCCAAGGATTGTTGCTATCAACGTCGGAACTTGGCTTGTTGATATTAAATTCGGTGGTCGGTCTCAACAGGAGGTGTAGAGAATGGGAAAATGCAATAACAATGATACCTAAAATTACAATAAAGTAGGAAATTTTTTTCATCACACCGATTATAATTGCAAAATATGTTCCGTAATTATCAAGGGCACGGAAAAAAGTTAAGAATTTGAGCTCAAGTACAAGTGTTGATATAGCAATAATCGATAATGGCGGATCTTTATCAATTAGCCATATAACTGAAGTCATTGTTGGAAAAAATATTGCGGCGAGGTCTGCAAATAAATTTAAGTTAGAACTTACAACATAATAAATATTGGAGATGCATTAAATACCGAATTATACAAACCAAGCCAGTTCCAATGACATGTAATATAATAATTTACATTGTGGATAAATTGTCGAAATTCATAAGTAAACTGAATAAATCCGTGAATAATTGTTGTCAACAAAAGTGCGTCCTTATTTTTCTGTGAAAGGTAATTTTGTGGAAGTGACGCAACCATGGAAAAACATAGTAAAAATGTCGTATATTGTGCCCACATGAAATAATAATAATATCTCCCATACTTGCTCCACTTAAAATTGACAAGAGCCTTAACGTTCGGCCATTTATAATATTCTGGAGAATTTAATGAGGTAAAAGGGTTGGCAGGTGTATAAATAAACTCCTTATAAATGGAAGAATTTCTTTCAGGGTAGGTAGCGAAATTTAATAAAGGTATCATTAACTTGACGGTCTTTTTAGGAAATATGGTAGTTTCTTTTTTAAAAAGTTTGAAAATATAGGAAATCCAGAGATATAAAAAATAAATGGGAGGGATTTTTAGAATTGATCGATATATTCGATAGGAAAGTGAATCGTTAAATGAAAATGGTAAAGTTTTGTAAGGGTCCGTGTAAAATAAAGTAGATGATTTATCTATAAGACAGTTACAATAGTCAGGAATTAAAAATGCGGTGGAGGATAAAAAACTTTCTGTAAATCTGCCGTGGGATTCTAGCTCCAAAAGATTATAAGTAATTATACCTAGTAATTTGGTAGAATTAGAAATATTGCCCCTCTGAAACTGATATAAACTACGATCGATTATAAATTTAAAGAATTTTTTGCTTTCTTTATATTTCTTCATTTGAACTGATCCTTGAAGAAACTCTTTTCCGTATAATTCCAGAGATGAAATACCATTCGTATCATTAACAATTCCTTCCCGAAACTGATCGAAAATAAATTTAAAGAGTTTTCCACTTGTTTCATAATCTTTCATTTGAACCAATTTTTTGAGCAACTCTCTTCCATATAATTCCAGAAATTGATCCCATTTTATATATGTTTTCAAGAAATCTAAATACGTAATTACCAAACCCTCTTTTCGATACAAAAATTTTTCACCATATATGATTACTTGGTCGAAGTACGGAGGAGGTAACAAGTTTTTATTATCTTCGGAATCGAATTTAGTCTTTAGTAAAGTAAGTTGTTTAACCATAATAGCATCATCTATCGGCGATTCCAACGCGTAATGCATTGTCAAATCACCCCAATAATAACGTAAATTAACAGAAGAATTGTCTTTTACTGTCCAGATTTGTACTCCAAAGGAGGCGATCAACATCAAATCTTCGTTTTTAAGTAGTATAAATTTTACTTTAATTTCTTCTTCTTTTGTCACGCGTAAATAGGTATCTACTTTTCCTATTCTCGCTTTCGTCGCAGTCTGTTCAGCAGTTATTCTAACCAATATATCGTCACGAGACACTTTTGTAACAGTCCAGGTATATTGCTTACCGAATAACGACTCCGGGGCTAACGATTCCTGGGTTAACGATCGTTGGGTTGGCGATTGCTCGGCTAAAAATTGCTCGGTTTGGTTTGGTTTATATTTTTTTAAAATGTCGTCTATATGTTTTTTTATATCTTCTCGTTGCGAATCGACTCCATTTTCATCACGAGGGTTATCTATCCACTTCTCTTCAAAGTCGTCTTTATATTTTCTAAGTTCATTGTTTAATTGATCTTTAAATGACTGGTCGTTATGATATTGTAGAATAAAATCAATTTCAGCCGATATATGTAATTCTCCTGACTTTTCTGATTCTGACGGAGAATTCAGCAAGGAACAGAGGTTGAGCGAAGATGTTGAATTAGGTACAGAAGGAATAGGTGGAGTAATAGCATAAGACGTCTTCTCCTGTCTAAAATAGATAAAGAGAAATTCTCCTTCTTCGAATTTAATAAAATGTATTGTGCTAAATGATTTTTTATCAAACTTTCTACCAGACTTTTGATTAATTTTTATAATCTTTTTTTTTTCGTAAAACTTTTCATTAAACGATTCTATAAATTAATTTATAGGTTAGTAACGGAGTTAAACAATTTACTTGTACGTTAATAGTACTTACGTCTTCCTATGATTTTGCCAGATTCTATCGAATAAAAATATACTCTTGAATTTTCATCCTGCTTTGCATTCGAATCCTCATCCAACTTTGTATTCGAATCTTCATTCTGCTTTGTATTTAAACGTCCAGCTACTCCAAGTATATTCTGGTCACTGTTTAGTTCCATCAAAATACCTTTTCGATACTCGGCCAAACTCCAATCTAATTCGTATTGTGTCTCAAACTTTCGTTCTAACAGATTCCATTGCAAGATTACAAAAGGTACATCTAAGAGAATCAACACTCTATCCCGAGAAATAACGGCATGTCTAAATTCAACGAGTTTAATGGTACCCGTGCAGTGCCACTCATTTCTGACAATAGAAAAGATGTGGACATGATAATCAAGATATCCTTCAACAATTGCAAAATCTCCATTTGTAATAAACCCACAATTTTCTCCACAACATCCATGATTTGATAATTTTTTTATATTTTCTTTTTCTTTATTACAATCTCTAGTTTCTATTGAAATAATTATATGCGTTATTTAAAAAGGACATAATTGCAACTTTAGGAAGAACGCCAAACTTACCAAGGACGTGAGCACCCTTCTTAACGGTCCCTATAAGAATTTTGTTGAAATCTGAGACGCAAATTGGAGCGTATAAAGCCGTTTCTCTAAGGTCAAAGAAATGAGATAATGTTAATCTGTGCTCGTGCTCTCCTTCCGTAAACTTCCACACGCAAACTGAACGAGCATTATAACTCGCAGTTGCAACATATTTCATATTTGGTGATAAAACAACTATGTTTATTTTCTTTCCATGTTGTGGATTTTTGTCATCGAAGTATGAAATTTCTTTATCAATCGAAATCCGGTATTCGTTAGAAGCTGATTTGCTCATTTTCTATAGAATACTAATTGATGTACATTTTCGATACGCTTTATTTATAAAAGAAATTTATAAAATTCATAAATAGACTTGATCCAATTTACATATACACACATGTAAGGCTAAAGTACATACGTAATGGTATCAATATGTGTACGCCAAAAATCCGTATATATGCAGTTTTCTTTAGAGACAAAAGTGCTGGGTGCTATTTTTCAATTCAATAAGCTAAGGATAAAAATACTACTGTACTTAGTAAACATAGCTACACTTTGAATGCAACGCGACCGTCAGTTACCTCAATAACAACAAAAATCAAGCCACTAAATTTTTGTCAAATAAGGTTTAAAAACCTAAATTTAAAGTAACATTCCTATTTCTATTGGAACTTTCCTAATAGGATTCAGAGAAGGTCGAAACTTATCGCGTCATGCATTATTGTTTTCAATTCAATGAGGCTAAACACTTGCACTTAAATTTAGTAGATTCCTATTGCTATTGGAACTTTCCTTATGAACATTTGTGAAGCATAATCGTTATGCAGCTTTGTTTTCCATTCAATGCGATTACGTACATTAAAACAATAAATTCCTAATTCTATTGATATTTTCTTTATATGTCAACAATCATCATGCCACGCACTAGATCACCGAAGCGCATACAGTATGCTTGTCAAATGGGTAATTCTTTTTGAAGACAATCGTTTAGGATCAGGGCCCACAATTTTTGAGCACCAATTTATGTCTAATGATATAATTTAATTGGTGAAATTTCTTTTAAAAAATAAATTTCGGATTTTTATTTCTGGTACTGTATATAAAAAAACCCAGAATATAGTATAATTATAATATAACCAATATGATTCTTACATGTCGTGGGGTGGAGTGAATGGATTGTTAAAATGTGAGGTAGAGTGAATAGTCTCGTAAAACGTGAAGTGAAATGGATAGGCTTGCCTAACGTAAGCAAAGTGGCTGGGTTCGTGAAACGTGAGATGAAATGGATAGGTTTGCGAAGGTGAATGAGTTCGCGGGGTATGAAGTGGAATGAGCTGGTTTGCGAAACGTGAAGTGGGGTAAATGGATTCAAAAAACATGAACTGGGATGAGTAAGTCTGCAAAGCGACTGGTGGAGTGAATGGTTCGCGAAATGTTAAGTAGGTTCGCTAAACGTAAGGTGAAGTAAATGGGTTCATGAAACACAAGGTGGAGTAGATAGACTTGACAAAAAATCCTCAAAATCACATTCTTTTTTTTTAAAAAAAAACTAATTTGAAATACGTAAAACGTGTATATTGTTGGCCGGGGAAGTCACGGGTATGATCGCGTAACACGATCAGTTGCAAGTTAGTATTAATTATAAATAGCTACCTTAGAGTTTATTTTTGCTCTGATAATCTATAATATCTTGTAATTTTGATATAGAAGTATTGTATATAAGAAAGTGGCAATTGATTTAAAAAAAAAGATATTTGAATTTGATATACTGTATATCGTTTAGAAAAAAAATAATCGTTGGCAAATGGAAAGAAGTAATTCTGGCTTATCAAGAAGAAACTGGTATTAGAAAAGAAGAAAAAAACCCATTATTCCTTGGCAAAATCAATTTCACACAATCTTATCTCAAACTACATTGTAAATAAGTCTTGATTTTAAAACAACTTTTTCAGTTTAACAACACAAGAAAATAGCAGAACCTAAAATCATATAAAATCATTTCTATACTTTAAATCTTATTTTATATTAATAGATTAAAATTTTATTGAAATAGCATAAATTAAAGTTTTTTTATTCTAATAATAATCCTTATCTGCTTTTATTATCTATTGTTATTGAAATATTTATAAATTATTTAATTAGTACAAATTTTTATATTCTAATATAGTTGCAAAGGTGAGAGTCCAGTTTTTTTAACATTATTAAGTTTATTTGTATCATTATCACATTCTTCTTCATTATTGTGTAGCCATCTGGGTGCCTCGTTATTAAGATTTAATGTAACAAAATTTCTACTACAATGATAAAGAGGAATTCCAAGAAGGATATGACAAGTTTCTTGAGCTGAAAAATCATGTTCTGATATAGTACGAAGTAAAAGTTTTTGAAATGCTACTATAGACGAATCATCAAGATTGCTGCTGCGAAGAGCATTATCTAGAATTTTTGAGAATGCTATAGATCATGGCTCAGCCTTAGTTGCATATTTGGAAATATATTGTAAAGCAGCATAAGTTGTTAATATATTGTAAAGCAGCTAAGGATCCTAACGATTCTCTTCGATTCTGTATTCGATTCTCAAGTTTATATTAAATTTAATAGGTGGGGTATACCCCACCATTATTTTTAATAGTGTTCCGAACCTCATGCGATTCTGTTCGATTCTATTCGATTCCAATTTTCGGAACCATAAAAGCAGTATAAGTTGTTAATATAAGTTTTATATCAACATTTGCTCGCCAACCTTGAAGTTGAATACAATCATGTGGATTTATAAAAGGATCATTTCTAGCTGTAATTAGCTCTGGATGACCATTATTATCAAATTGCACAATAGTTTGATTTCTTAACTCTTTTGGAAAACCAAATCTGCAAACTTGTTGACTTGTTAACTTATTAATTCTCAAGCAATGAGTACTGCAACGTGTGTTTCGTTGCAATTTGTTGATAAGATCTATATAATCTTGCAAATCATCGTTAAGTTCATTAGAGCACTTTTGATATGGATGTTGATTAGGTATTAATGCGTTTAATCCTGGATTAATAGTAGTAACTAAAGAATCAATATAGCATATTATTTCATCCATTAATTCCTGATTTGTTTTTACTTGATCCCATTGAAATACAGGTGCCTCCTTTTTAATTCCGATACCATGAAGATGGACACTTCCACGATGCTGCCATTCATAACGATACCACCAATCTATTAATTTCCATTTTGGTATTTTATTCTCGCTCGAGATCCATTTAGCATATCAAATATCAAAATATATTTTTATTAGTCACTATGGGATATAGCCTT